TGGGGAGCCCACGGACAGTGGCGGTCGGGGCGTTTCTAATATGAAAGAAACGAGTAAGCATGAATATGTCATAAAATCAAGAGTACGACAAAACAAAGAAGATGGGCCTAAAGACCGAGACTGGACGTGGGAACCCATGGACAGTGGCGGTCGGGGCGTTGCTAATATATTGTTGGTTTAAATATATAGATTTTTTATATTTAATTCTATTATATATATCAAGATATAAACACTAATAATTGTTTGTGATTCAAAAACACTATTAATTGTTGATTACTAATAATATATATCAAAAGTTATAGCGTTTTACCATAATTCTATATTAATGTCGTTATAAAAATTAGACTCTTGACAAAATTAATTCAATAAATATCCCTAACTTGATAACCCTAAATATTAATTATTAATTCTGGTCTTAATCAACATACAACCCCGCGCTGGGCGCGGGGACCTCCCCTAGTTATCCTTTAATAACCTTCTTTTTTTGTAAGAATTTACTTAAGAATGCCATTTGAGTTAAAATTTTAAAGAGTAAATTAATTCATCTAAATAAGGATAAACAAGTCAAATACTAATTTATGCAATTTAATTAATTTAATTTAATTATAAAAACGAAAATACATTATTAATTTAAAAAAAAATGACCAATCAAAATGAATATATAAGATTTGATATCTAACTTACTTTATTAATTTATTATTAATCATTATATATTACTTTAACTCTCATCTTTATATGATTATAATTTTGTAAAACAAATAAATCATCATATCATCTATATAATAATAAAAAGTAATTTTTTTTCTGCATATGCCATGATTTGAATTTTTAAAAACGAATATAAATTGTTCAATCTATGAAGGAAAAAATGTAACGGTTCAAAAATTCAAACTTGAGTAATATATTTCTTTTAAACACTAATAAATTCAACAAAAATTCTAACGAGTCAGAATTTGAGTATTTATATTCAATTTCATTTTTTTTGAAATATATAATTTTATATACTACAATAAAATTTTAAATATTTTAATTTGGATTTTATATTTTCAAAGAATATCATCAATACTTAACATATCAAAAATTTAAAAAATAGAAATACTCTAATTTAGTTTTTTTAAAACAAATATATTTAAAAATATTTATAATAGGCAACAGGTTAAATATAATGTGTTATATGATGACATGAGTTATGATCCTTATAACTATTTGACATGAGTTATGATCATATAATTTTATTTTTGAAATTCAGAATTTTATATACTACAATAAAAATTTTAAAATATTTTAAATTGGAACATTCAAAAACAGTTTAATTTAATATTTTAAATAATATCATAAATATTTAATAAATCAAAAACTTAAAAGTTATAAATACTCTATTTTGATTTTTTTTTAAACAGATATATTTAAAATATTTATAGCAAACAATGGGTTAAATATTATATGATAAAAAGTGTTATGATCTTTATAACAGACAACATATTAAGATTATATGATGAGATGGTTAAATAAGGTTTGACACTTCTAAATATTTGAAATTTGATTCTGCAAACAATTTTGAAAATAATGAATGATGGATTGTGAATGCAATTTTTTCATTGAGATTCTAACATGAAAATATACTTCATGCTCGGGTTGAATTTGGTATTATTATATACTAAAAATATGTTCATAATATTTTTGATTATGCGAATAATTGCTAAATTCAGTAATTAGCTAAAAAAAAACTCGATTTCAACAACCAAAAAAATACAAATTGAAAAATGAATTTTCTAAATTAATTCAAAATCATAGTTATCTTCCTTAATTAACTCAAAATAATCTACGTTTTAGATGCGACTCATTTATAATATTTTGATTTTTGATCTAACTGAATTATATGCAATCTCATTTTGTGGTTGTTAACATAAATTAACTCATTTTCAAATAATATTAATTTTCTTAAAATAATATTACTTTCCGTTTTCATATCTTAAGAAAAATTATCCATAATTGAGTATTATATAAAAATATATATATATTTATTATAAAAATTATATATAAGTACTTAAAAGGGAGACTCACAAAAATGCTCATTTTTCAATACCCCTTTTCAAAAATACCCCCTTTGGCTGTCCATTTTTAAAAATACCTTTTTTATGTACAAAATGACTAAATTACCCTTCTTTTAATAAAAGATATCACAAATATATAAGGAAATATAACAAAATTAGGTCCACAAAATACAAAATATTTTTTGGCGGGAAAAGTGATCCCTCAATTTTTCCCGCCAAAACAATTGTAAAAAACCTTTAAAATACCTTGTAAAATTTTCCCGTAAAATTTTTTCCCGCCAAAAAAAATTTTTTGCGGGAAAAGTGATTCTGTAATTTTTTTGTCGTTAAATTTTTGGCGGGAAAAATTTACAAGGTATTTTAAAGGTTTTTTACAGGGTATTTATAAGGTTTTACAATGTATTTTAAAAGGTTTTACAACGTATTTATAAGGTATTTATAAGATATTATAATATTTTACAAGCTATTTTATAAGGTTTTACAAGTTATAAGATTTTACAAGTTTTTTATAAGGTTTTACAAGTTTTTTACAAGTTATAAATTCCTTATAAAACTTTATAAGTACCTTGTAAAACCTTTTAAAATACATTGTAAAACCTTACAAAACACTTGTAAATACTTCGTAAAACCTTTAAAATACCTTGTAAATTTTTCCCGCCAAAAAAATTGCGGAATCACTTTTCCTGCAAAAAAAAGTTTTTTGGCGGGAAAATTTTTTGGCGGGAAAAATTTTTACGGAAAAATTTTACAAGGTATTTTAAAGGTTTTTTACAAGTGTTTTGGCGGGAAAATTGCGGGATCACTTTTCCTGCCAAAAAATATTTTGTATTTTGTGGACCTAATTTTATTTCAAATAAGGGTAAAATGGTCATTAAAAATTAAAAGAGGGCAAACTTAAAAATGAACTCTCAAAGGGGGCATTTTTGAAAAGGGGTATTGAAAAAATGGTATTTTTAACAATTTCTCTACTTATTAAAAAGGAAATATCTTTTTCACTTACTACTATAATATATCAAAACTTTATTGTAAAATATATAATATATAAAATATTGTACTAAACAAAATTAACCCGTACTCATGATCTAGTTATGAATTAATTATGTTTACCCAAAAAAAAAAATATTTCTGAATTGATATTTTTTTGTGAGATTTTATTTACCCAGAATAAAAAATATTTTAGTTTGCGTATTTATTTCTATATTGAGTTTTTTCTTAAATTATTGTAACGTAAAATTCTTAAATCGTAATGCATAATTATATAGTATTTATTTTATATTAAGTTTTCCATAAATTATTGTAACGTAAAAGTCTTTAATCGAAATGCATAATTACGTAGTATTTATTTTTTATTGAGTTTTCCATATATTATTGTAACGTAAAATTATTAAATCAAAATGCATAATTACATGGATTGTTTGCATATATGCAATTCAAATATTGAGAACACTAAACATAGGTTCTCTTTCCCTCTGTTTTAATTATTTTCTGTTTTTTTTTTTCTCAATAACTTCATACCTTCATTAAAATCGAAGGAACCTTGGAACCGATACAAATTCAACAGTGTCTCCTATAATAAATAACACCTAAAACACATAAAAACTAACAAAACACATTAAAAATCTGAAAGATAACAAACCAAGAACCAAGAAGTGAAACACCATAATGTCTCAATCGTTGTGCTCTCGATATAATGAATCCAAATGACAACGAATGATGCTTTTAATCTCCACAATTAAAGCACTCGCTGGCCTAGAAGCAGAATTATGAAGTCTTGAGTTTCTTTCTTTCCAAGGATGTATATTGAATCTTGAAAGACTAATAGAAGAACCAGAGCCACATTCTTGTCTCTGCAGGGATTCTTTAACCATCTAACTCCTTTATTAAACAAGTTTGGAGGAGCTATATGGGCCCTTGAAGTGAAATAAGACCAAACTTCAGCAGCAAAGGAACAGTCGTCAAAGAATTAATATGTGTTGCCATTAGAATTGCAGAGGAGGCACATAGAAAAAACATTTAACGCCAACAAATCAATGTCTCTTGTATGCAGCCTATGACGAGTAGTAACCCAAGCAATAAAAGCATGTTTGGGAATTTTGCCCTTGAACCAAATCGAATCGAAAATGTCAAATGATTTGTCTAATCAGTATTTATTTGTGCGTGACAACAATCTATGTGAGCTTCTCGTTAATTAGTTTGGTAGTGACGATTTGCGTTGGTTTGATCCAAAAAGCGAGTGAGTACTCAACATATTTTTAACCACGTATCACGAATTCACGACATAGTTTGCGTCTTCTAAACGATATATGTATAGTTTGGTAAATTCGTTACATATCTTACAAGTTCATGATCTCTCCATGGATACAGAAACCACAAAACTAGCTAGTGTACGTAGGTTTCACCTCGTGATAATGAATTCAATAAGAAACAAAAACGATTATACATTGTTATCGATTGAAACTTTTATCTTATAAAATGTCGTCCGAAACAGCTTTAGCACTATCAAACGGTTGGGAAATTCAAAACTAGTTGGCGGCCTGCAGTTCTGGTTTCATATCCGCATTACAAGTTCTAACTAATTATGTTTAAATTCTTTTAAATCCTCTCAAATAGAAGAAGCATTTATTGTATAACAAACGTTTTTTGGTGAATAAATTTTACATTCATACAAAAAAAATTTTTTATCTTATAATTAGATTATTATTTTTTGTTATGAGCCATCAGTTTCAATCATGTTTAGATTATTATTTTTTATATAATGTTATTAAATCCGTTTGACGTATTGCTCTAATCAAGGAGTTGGAGCTAAAGAAATAACAAACGCGCTAAAAATATATTAAACAATATTCTAAAAACTGTTAAACAATATACAAGACAACAACAGCCTATGACTCAATTTTGGCTAACACAAATAGACTAGATTCAGTTTTCAGTTACCAAACATATCCATCTCATAATAGCTTTAAATCCCCAATTTATCTCCCTCTTTTCCTTTTTATTCATCCTCTTCAATTTTTCTTCATTGATTTCTCTACATTTTTATACCATTTAACGTAAAGATCCATTATTAAACCGAAAAAGGATCAATATATACATAAATATATATGTTTCGACGATACTTTTCTTTCGTAACTCTCATAGGACTTGCTTTAGCCGGTGGAGCTTATGCCGCAAATTCATCTCCACCTTCTCCACCGTCAGATAGTAGCACCGAGAAATCTCCTCCGGCGACCCCCTCCCTCCCCTCGTTGAACGCAACGTTCGTTCCAGATTACTCCGATTACGAAGTCCCGATGAATCTAGCACCTGATGGAGTCGAAATCGTGCAAGATTACGTGCCAATTGTTCAAGATGAAGATAAAGAAGCTGATGAGCTTGAAGGTAAATCAGATAAGAAAGCAAATCAACCTAAGGACTCAGCTTCTTCTTCTTCTTATTCTTCCTCTTTCGTCGTCTTTGTCGTTGCTGCTGGATTGTTTTTATTTTGAGGGTTAATAAAACTATGTTTTTGGCTCATAATCCATTAATTAATTGTATGCATGCAACGTAAATTTAATGGATTTTTTTTGTCTTTTTCTTTTGGTAGCATATCAATCTGAGATCCAATAGAACTGGTTCTTTTTTTTTTTCTATCGAGTTGGTTAGTCAAAAACAAAAACTTACAATTTGTTAATTAAATAGAAATGTGTCCTTTTAGTACGTAACCTAAAATCAACATCGATTTACACTTGCATAAATATTTTTCAATATTGTGAACTTAAATTGAGTAATCCGCGCGAATCATATCATTTTGATCATATGAAATGCTATAAAAATAACTACTTAGAATTTGATCATTATTAGATCAAACTACAATTATTATGGTTATTATTCATCTTTTGATAGGGGTAAAATGGTCAGATTTTCGCTAAAATGTCAAAACATGAAAGGCCATTCTCAGTTTGCCAAAACTTGAAAATAAAAGTTGGTCAACTGCCATAACATGCAATTTACCCATAAAAATAAGGGCTACTTAGAATTTGATCATTATTAGATCAAACTACAATTATTATGGTTATTATTCATCTTTTGCTCTGCTTATTTCACGTAGTTTATTCTCTATTCATTTTCACCAAACACATTTTATTTAGTCTAGTTTGCTTATTACAACTCATCATATAGTTTGGTTTGCTTATTACAACTCATCCATTCCAAGATCACCATTTGGATCACAAATAGTTTACTATTTATTCATGAAAACTAAAAATTCTCTTTTACAATTGGAGTTAAACCAAACTATATAGGTTTATAATGAAATTATGTGGTCGATCATAATCTTAAGAAAATTCTAAAAGCCTTTTTCCCAATAAATTTGTTTCCTTCCAACTTTTCAATTACTTTTTTTCTTTTTTCTCTTAACAAGCATTTAAATTTAAAATTATATCATATTATAATTGTCTTTTTTGTACGTCAACCATCACTTTTAAACCACTTGCTCTTGTGTTGTCGGCTTGCACGCGTGCGATATAATATTAAACGTTAATTTATCCCATAATATAATGAAAAAGAAGGCAAATGATTGTAACACATACAAAGTTATTAATTTAGTTCTAAAAGCTAATTAACCATACTTCTAGTCTAATATACTCTAATCTACAACCAGTTATACCTAAACTAATATACACTTGGCTTGTGTTTTTCCTAATCTATCCTTTTTAAAAATATAATTTTAAGTTTTTAACATTTGACAAATCATGCAAACAGCTGTTAGCATACATAATAATCTATCAATAGAGGATGTAATTTATTTAGTAGAGATGTAAACTTCGAATTCTAGATTTAGTTACTTAGTTAATTTAGTTATTATCATAGCTAACCATTTGTTATTTTGTAACTACTTTTAGGATAGTGGCTTGTTCTCTTCTTAGACCCGTTGATTTAAGTATGGCCTCTTATTATATGGGATCCGCAGAAAATAAAATCTCCTAATACACGTTTATTCAAATTGATTTCTATATCTCAGTAAAAACAAATTTTTTTTTAGACTAAGTATTACATAACACGCATAACTCTATTGACATTTAAATGATATATAGCAGACAATTTTACACACAGAAAATCCGATCTTCCAACTTTAATCAATAGGACTAGCTAGCAATTTAGCAAAATACAATTAATCACTCAACTCAAAGTTTATCAAATGTGAGACAATACAACAAAATAACAAAGCATATACTCCCGCAAAATCAAGAACTTATAGCACTTATAAAAGAGAGTGTTTAAGTGTGGATTAGAGCTAATCAATCGATTGAATAATCAATTAATAAAGTAAGGAATTAATTAGACAGTAATTGGGAGATGAATATGTTTCAACTCCTTAAAAGCAGGATCTTGTAATAAAAAGACCTTATCTCCATCTCCAACACCAATCATGTGTAAGTATTCTCTGTCTTCTCTTTCCTTTCCTCTGAACAATAGTCTTTGCTCTTTTGCCTCAATTCCACTCACTATTGCTATCATCATCTTCAATTCACCTGAAAAAAAAAAGATCAAATGAGAAATTATATAATAAGTGACCGTTTTGTATCAAAAGATGCTCCAACGCTTTTTTAAATGTAAAATATAGTTAGTTGTCCTGTAATTAACCAACCAATTACTCGAATAAATATCAAACGCGTTATATTTAATTGCCACAGTATATATAGATCATCCTTTATAGTTGCATGCATAAATCTTGATGAGGTAAATATTATATCGTTAGCACTCTTTGACCGGTGATAACATTATTAAGGACGATTTATATATCAAAATTTTAAAATTAAACCAGCTTTACAATGATATTTAAATTATAGTATTGATTTTGTTAGCTGGTTTCAATAATAACAAAAACAAAAAACATTCTACGTAATCATATTCACATACACTAGAAATTGACCCCAAAAAAAAAAACTATGTAATTACCGAAAGTAGAGTTGGCATCAATGGAGATTTCATATGAAAGCTGAGAAACAGTGGAGACTCTAAGGCTGATTAGATCTTCAGTGTTAGAATCTTCTGATCTCTTCTGAACCAGCATCCCTCCAGGCCTCATCTCCCATTTTATGTTGTTATTGTTACATGATGAAGATGAAGATGATGATGATAATGATGATGATGAAGAAGAAGAAGAAGATGATGATGATCTTTTGTTGTTGCCCGTCCCAATTCTTCCACATCCAAACCCAATGCAAAACCTCTTTGCCATTAACTTTCCCATTCTCTCTCTCTCTTTCTTTTTTTTTGCTTGTAAGAAGAAAGTAGATGTGCTGGCTTATATTTATAGAAAATGAGGTTTGGTACACATATTGATAAATTATTGTTAAACAAAAGGCCCTAAACAAAATTATCATATGTTATAAAGCTAAAGAAATAAAGGGAATTAGGGTGTATATTCTTTTCTTACTTCGCTTCTTTAATTTGATAATAAAAAGAAATCCTGTCGACGTTACAAGAAATGGTCTTCTTTAAAAAAACGAAATACGTTTTCTTCTCTCACAAATCTTTTTTTATAAATCATTTTTGGTTCATAACCCTTCTCGTTTTCTCTCCTCTTTTCATGATGATCCGATCCCTTTTCTCATATATATGATAGAGAAAATGATATGAATCTTATTAAATTTACGGTTTAATTTTTTTTGACAAATACATTTATAACATTTTACACTTCAATATATATAACTAGTAACATTGCAATATAATAAAATCGAAGTGTATTTTATTGTCTTACTTGACTTTCTACTTTTTTAAATAGAATTATTCAATACTAGAAAGCATAGTTCTATTTTAAATATAGAATTACATAAAATTAAGGGTTTTATGCAAAAAAAAAACCCTCAAAATCGTTAATTTTTGCAATTTTACTCTCTACCTCTAAAAAATACAGAATAATACTATGAAATCCAAAATAATAGGCAATATAGCATTTTTACTATTGTCAAATTTTTAAAATTTTGATAAATAATATATCAAATCGAAGCACTCGAGACGAGAAGTTCTACTCTACCTTTAAAATTTTAAAAGCCAAATGTATGTGATCGTGAAAACGTTTACAATATATGTATAAGGGCTATATTGCTTATTATTTTGGATTTCATAGGATTATTCTTTATTTTTTAGAGGTAGAGGGAAAAGATGCAAAAATTGGTGACACAAAAAAACCCTGAAATTAAATACAAATATTTTGTTAATTTATCAAGTGTGTGGTAGATTACTGGCAAAATGATCTGATCTTTTGGTGATGAAAATTGAACTTTCCCCTAGTTCAAAATCTTTGGGGATGAAGAAGGTTCATACCTTTCAAAAAGTATTATCAACTGTTACTCCCAAACTTTTCTAGTAAACAAAAAAATGTTTTGTGAAATTTTGGGGGTCAATTTTTTAAAAAGATGTTTTAGAGTAGTTTCATCTTTTTCATAACCGAAAGATCAATGATTTATTACCTTTATTATAGTTGGTATATATTTAGATTATGTCCTTAAATTTTCCATAAATAATTAAGGAATAAAACTTACAAAACGTCAACTAATTTTCTAGTGCATGGTTCTTGAAGATTATCTTCTTTCTTGAAATTTGATAACCATTATAGGACTTCCCATCCTTATCCATATTTAACATGGTTTTGTTTAAATATAGGAATCAAATATCTGTATGATTGGTTTTTTAGTCTATTACATAATAATTGTCAAGAACAACTCTAATTTCAACAATAGAATCTATTTGTCTATAAGAATAATGATGACTACCAAACTGTCTCTTTTTCTGTGGTGATCTGTACAATTTTTCAATATCTGATGTACTTCATTTGAATAATTTTTCTTTCTTTCTAAACATGGGAGGTTTTCTATAATTAAGTTTCAATTCAAGATATATAACTTAAGTGGTAGTGTAATACGTATGTTTTATGACAAATACATTGATATTCAGTTTCTCTATTTATAAAATGAAAAAACTGAACCAAAAACAAATAAAAATCAGATCGAACATACCTAATTGTGCTTAAATACTAGTACTTTATAATGGTGTGAATACTCTTCTATTAATTCGTTGTTAAAGGAAAAAACGTAAATTTCACAACTTTGCATACACTTTCTAAACATATATAATTTGTGTCATGTCATAGTAAAGCGTGTGGATTTTTGTGTTAGTTAATAAGGTACTATTTGTTAGTTAGGTGAATAAAATCTTTTATATTCAATATTTGCCTCGAAAGATGTCCCTTGAGGCTTACTTTATGATAGAGAAGGCCGGTTTGGTTATCCTTTATGGTATCAACCCACGTGGGTCGAAAAAGGCATAAAGATTACATTTTTTGTTATTATATTGATTTTGAAATCTCTTTAAATTTCAAACAACATCGATTTTCTTTTGCTTAAATCATTGCAATAATGGCCAATGTATACAAAACAAAAATCATTCATGTGTAAGGAAAATCTATTTGAATTATAAGACATGACATGTTAATTTTGTTGTTACTAGAATTTAAATTCGGATGTGTTATTAATCGATTCAGCTTCACGATATGGAAAGATAAATAGATAATGCGTATAGAAAATATGGTACCTTGTAATATAATCTACCAAAACATGGAACTTCTATGTCTCTGGCATTCTTTAGTTTATTAGAATTTTTTTTTTTTTGGTAGCTTCATTTTTCTTGCTTATGTCTCGAGTACTACCTAACTATTTGGCTGATTCAATCA